GGTCTGGAATGAAAATAAGGAGAAAAAAATGCTGTAATGATGTCTGAAACAGAATCTTGGCTCCATGGAGGAACCATGTGCAATGTCATGGGCAGTGTGGTTCAAGGGTCACGTTCGAGGTCTGAGTTACTTCAGTGGGGTCAGAGGTGCAGTAGGATCAAAGCTGCTACAAGCGTCTCCCCATTCTCACTAGGGGGGCTTCTTTTCACACTTTCTAAAAGAGGGCCAGGCCCTTCACACCATGTAACCCTTCCCTCCTACAAGGAGATCTTCTAAGGGCCACTTGTGGCCCTTTCGAGGTGTCACTAGACTAGCAGCGAATGGACAGAGGAGAGGAGTAGGCATTACCAGAGGGAGAAAAGGGGCAGAGCCACTTGCACCTACTCAGAGTGCCCTCACCTTGTAGATGGAGAAGGCAGGCAAGGCACTCAGTGGCCCACAGGTGGGATGTGGCCAGAGAGGTGCAGGTGTAGGGTGCCAGCAGCCCCAACAGGGACCCAAATTGCTCAAAAGGCTCTTGCAGCTGAGAAAAAAGAAAGAATGAATGACATGTGCCTGGGTTTGGCTAGAGTGAGATTCAAGTTTATGATCCTGGGAAGGTGAAAAGAGGAATGCATCCCTGTGGGACCCTGTCTGCTAGGAAACCTTTCTGCATCTCAGGGTGAGGCTGCCATGAGGACATCAAGGCAAGAGAGAGTTAGACCATACTTACTCTGCAATAGACTGTCTACTGATAGGTGACAAGCAGCTGGGAGCTGGCCTGCAAGGCCCTAGCTTTCTCCTACTCCTTGTTGGAGAAGAACCATGGCTCAAGAAGCTGTCAGGAGAGTAAACTACTGTCAGAGGAACCTTTAAAACAGCTCAGAGGAACCATTTCAAAAGCAGACATCACCATCACCACTGAAATCCTTCCAAGCAATCTGATTCTTTTATCATCTGGATACAACCCAGGTGGACCTTTAGTTCCCCTGAAGCCAGAGGAGCTGTTGAGTGACCTTGGCACAAGATGGTGCAGTTACTAGGGATGTCAGTAGGATGCAAGGGAATTACGATCCATTGTCCCAAGGACACCTTGGGAGATTCTCCTTTCATTTTCCCCTGCTGAGGGAAGCTCAGAGACAGCTGGGGTGTGTGTCACAAAACCCAGAACTACTCTAGGGAGGCCAGGGGTGACTGCCAGGAGGCCAGGAGCTGATGCCAGAAGACAGCTGTTTAGGTGTACCTGTATTTAGAAAGATTCCTGAGCCATCTCATTTTCCTCCCTCAGTTGCTGCATAGTTGGAAGATGCAAGAGGCATTTGAGGCAGACATCAAGGATGTTTCTGTTTTCATCCAGATTCAGTGAGGATTTCACCTTGCCAGCAGAAAAAAGAGAGAAAGAAAAGTCCTCAGTTAGACTGACTGCCAGCCTCAAGGAAAAGTGGGTCTAGTGCTAAGATATGACCTGAACCTAGAACCCAAAATCCAACCCCCCTGGACATGGCAGCTGAGAAGCTCCTTGCACTCCCCACCACTCCTAGTTGTCCCACAACCACCACCATCAGGTCTTTCAAGTCCAAATCTCCAAGCGGACCAAACACATTCAAGCCCCTCTGACCCCAGCTGCAGGGAGAGCAGCCATTGGCCTGAGCCCTGCAGGTGTCTCTCAGCTCCAGATCTGACAGGAAGAACAACAGAGTGTTAAGGAAGGAGCTCATCTCTGACCAGGGCATCCCAGTGCCAAGGGGAAGGGCAGGAATCACCTACCTCAGGTGCTTAATGGGAAGCATGGCCCTGAGGCAAACAGGAGAGGTCAGGGAATCCATTGGCCCTAAGGAGTCCCTGGGCACAATGCACCAGGAAGGCCGATGCAGGTCTCTGTGTGTGAAGGAGGTGGCTCTTCCTACTGTGCTTTGTGCAGAAGCTGACGCTGGAGCTCTCAGCAGGTGTTTGGGGCACAGCGAACAATCTGCTGGATAGGGCCTGGACCTAAATAGCTGTGAGTGCTGAGGTGCTTAGCTTAGCCATGGTGGTGGCTCTGCTGGGCTGGGTGAGCCCTAGAGCAGAACCTTAGGGCTCATTTTCCAGAAAACATGCAGGTGCCTTTAGACTCTCCAGCACCTGCCAAGGGAGGTTGGTGTGCATGTGGATTATGCTCTTGCAGCTGGTACTTTCAGGCTGGGCAATAGGGCTCATGTTTCCTCTCCAAAAGCTACCTGAAAGACATGAGAAATACACAATCTTTTTCTCTGGGTGAACAACTGAAGTAGTTGTCTCAGTAACTGAAAGGGGCTGGTTGACTACTGACTCATTAACCTGGGACCCAAAAAATGTGAGTAGCAGAAACTGTGCTCCCCTCTGTATCATTGGAGACCTGATGTGAAGCATTTCCCCCTGGGAGAGGGCATTACCAGGGAAAGTAGCCACTGCCAAGCTATTCTTCTTAAAGTTTTATAGGGGGAGGAAGTGTGAGAAACCCCCCAGATCCATTATTTGCAAGCACCCGACTATCCCAGACACCTGCACTTTACTCATGGCAGCACCAAGGTTTTCCAGTGTGCTCAGGGTGAGGTCCAAGTGGCCCTTGGTTGAGACCACCAGGATGGTCACAACTTGCTGGAACCCAAGAAATGCATTGGTGAGTGAGTAGGACTTTCTGGCTGACAGACCTGAGAGTCCTCCCTATCTCCCCTGATACTAGAACTGCCCATCCAACGTGGAACAAGTTAGGGCGCTCTCTGAGGGAAAGGACAAGGGAAGGCCATGAAGCAAACCAGCCTCAGACACAGAGCAACAGAGAACTGAGGACACGGGAGGGCCTGGCCATGTCTGGAGAGAACACAGTCCTCACCTCTCTCTGAGTCCCCTGGGTTTCTGCTGCCATGTAATCTGTGCCCTTCAGAGATTTCTGGAGCTGGGATTTCACATGGGCAAGAGGCCAATGTGGTACCAAGTGACTTATATAGGGAACTCCGAAAGAAGGAGACCAACATCACCAAAGAGGTGGGAACACAGCAGCCTGCTTTTCAGGACAAGAACAGACCAGAAACACACCCATCCCTAGGAAGGACCTAGAGTCTAGCCCCAGCATCCATGCACCTAATAACTGGCCCCATTCTCTGCAGGGAAATGGCAGCCAAAGGCAGAGAAAGAGCACCTTTGAGCAGCTCCCTTTGGGCCAGTGAAGAGAGTAGAGAACCAAATACAATGCCTTTCATCAAGAAAATAGAATGGAAAAGTACAAACTCTGGAGAGAAACTCTCTGCATCCTTCCTGCCACAGCACCGTGAAACAGCTGCAGAAACCCAGCCATTGCCAAGAGCATGCACCTTCTCTAGGAAGGAGCAGGCATAACTGGCCATCTCTTGCTGCAGCTCCAAGCTCAGCTGACTGCTCCAGGTATGGTCATCAATGGTCTTCAGTGTCATGTTTAGGAACTGAGGGCACAAGTGAAGGGAAGCAAAGGGTTGGGTGCATGGGCTGCATCCCTGTCCTCCTCCTCTGCTGTGCCCTTTCTACCACGCAAGTCTCACAGGGAGAGGACTCCTTTGGAGAACTCTACAGATGGTTACCCTAAGATCTTCCTGCTTCTTGCTCTCCTCTCCTCATCTCTGCCCAAGGATCCTTCACAAACCTTGACACCAGTGGACAGAGATTTGGAGAGAGATTGTGCAGAGGGTGGAGGATGTATCAAGTCAGGAAGGTGCCATGGGCTCTACAACTAGCATCTCCAGCTTCCAGGGACTTCAGTGTTTTGTTGTGTTGGGCTTGCATTGTGATAGGACCTGGTATTTGCAGAAGCCCTCTAGCAAGGCCTCATCTCCTTCAATTTTTTGAGCTCAAAGACTGTAGAGAAAGGCTGGATTATCCCAAATGGACAACTCTGGATGTCAATCCAAACTCAAAGAGACTGGCAAACCTTCCAAGTTGGACTCTTGCTGGGTTATTGACTTTCATCACCTCATTTCCCTGAGGCATGAGGGTACCTTCCCTTCCCAGACAGTCCTACCCAGTTTGGCTGGCTGCAACAACAGCTCTGAGAGCCATCCTGTACTTTCAGCAGCAGGTACTCCCAGACCACATTGTCCTGGGATGTCTCAGGATTTCCTGGAAGTGGGAGGCAAACAAGAAGGATGTCACTGCCATAGGCACTGAAGAAGAGTCCCAGCTGCCTCCTTGGACATCAGTTCTTTGGAAGCTCCTGCATCCGCACCCGGTCACCTCCTGGTCATAGGCCTTGCAGTCTAGTACATATCATGCTAGCATGTGTGGAGGTTGTGCACAACCAGTCCCTGCAGAACTGGTCATAAAGGGACTGGAGGGTGCTCGGCACGTCACAGATGTGCTCAGCACATCACAGTACAGGACTGGGCTTCATAGAAGGGCAAAGTGCACAGTTTTCCTCTGGCAACAGAAACCCCCCAAGCGTGCAGGGAACTACAGAAGAGTGGTTGCTCTGGTGGAGCCCTTTATGGGCAAGCCCTACCCTGTGTCCCATCAGCCCCAATGTTGTCAAGCCCCTGGATTTGCCCCCGTGACAAAGAGTAGAAGCTCTCAAGCATGCGATGCCGCAGAAGGGGAATGGTACCACAGGGGGCTCCAGGAGGCTGCAACCTTCCCCCTTCCCTTCTCTTCACAGAGATCATTGCGCTCCTTCCTTGCTTTTCACCTTCAATGGTCAGGAGCAGGATGGAAATCTTGATCTTCCACTGCTCTCCAACAGCAGGATGGATTTTGCAGTGCAGAGCCCACAGTCCCCGCAGGGCAGAATGTGTGTACATGATGTCACCCAAGGTGACCACCTGACAGTGAGAAGCCAGGGCTCATTAGAAGATGTACATAGTCTAGTTCAGAGTCTGGTCTCACTGATACCCTGGGAAAAATCCAGAGTAGCTTCACTGACATCATGAGAGTTTCCTTAGATCTATACCAGTGGAAATGGTCTAACTCTGATTCTAGTGACAGCCTGGCTGCCCTAGTGCACCCCATGCTCCTGCTGAAGCCAATGGCAGGTTTCAGCCTGCTAGGACAACAGCACCAAGTCTCCAGCTTCAATTTATCTTACCATTTGGCTGCTAGACAAGCTGGACTGCTTGAAAATATAGGCCACTAAGTCCCAGCCCAGTCATCCAGGCCCTGCACATTGAGCAGTGTCCTGCTGAAATGGAGGACAGCCTTCTTCACCTGGAGGGGAGGAGAGGACAGACTGGAGTAAGGACAGCCCTTATGCCCAAATGGTGGCGGGGACCAGCCATGGCATAAACCCTCCCTCAAACCTTGGAAAGATTGACAGGGAGGTTGAAGGGTCCCCAGGCCTCCAATTTTATTTCTAGGGTTTATAAAGAGGCAAGAGAACAATGTGTCCTTGCTACTCAGTAGTTCTGTATTGGCATCTGAGGGAAAGCAGATCTCCTCCCCACTGGCAATCTGCTTACACTTCTCTAGATCCCGAATCTCCCCAGCTTTGCAAGCAGAAGAGCAGACTCTGCACTGACTTCCCTGAAGCTACTGATGGGGGGAAGGTTTTCTCTACAACTGAACCAAGAATTTTGGGTGGGAATTTTGTGTCAGGTCCAGGTGCCATTGCCAGCACAGCCACAACTCACAAATCACCTCACCTGAATACTCTGATCACCAAGCATGCACCTCATGGCCTTGACTAGCTCACATTTTTTCTTGCTCATCTCGGGCACTGTAAGGAGAAGGAGGGCACAATATTGCTGTGTTCTGGGAGCTCATCCTCCATAGCAAGATGCACCCAGATTGCAAAAGAACAGCTTGTGGCAACCTGCACAACCTCCTATCTCTACTTTGGAACCTGGGAAAGTATCTGGGACCATAACAAAGGTCTCATCAAACCTCTTCATTTCAGAGTGCTGCCAGGAAAGGTGTCAGAGCAGGATTTGGCCTAAGCATTCCTGTGTCATCCAGCAGGACTCAGGGCGCTACTGGCCCTTTGTAACTGAGCAGCAGAGGACAGAGGTCTGGCTCTAGCTCTATACAGCAAGGGCTATTGAGAACAGCTAGAGCAGAACAGGTTATTCATCCTGGACAGTCCTAACTCAGTTCCTGAAGGGTCAGCCAAGATGGCAGTCAACATGTTTGCTCTGGTCATACTTACAGTCAGCAGCAATGATGCCACTAAAGATTAAGAGGGATGCCACACAGCTTGCCTCCTTGTTGGTCTTGAGCCAGGAGCCCACAAAGAAAATAAATTGGTTTGGGGAGAGACAGGATGCAGGGGGAAAGAGCACAGCCTCAGTGAGCTCAGCACTCCTCATTATCATCCCCCCTTCCATGTTTTGGCACAGTGCAGGGAAGGTCGAAGGAAACCCCCATGTCACCTGAAGTCTCCTCTCCTTACCGAGCAGAGGGAGACAGTAGAGCACCTTGACCTGGTTCTCTGATCTCAGCAGTTGTGCAATATCACACACCTGTGAGAAGGGAAGAGATTCTCCAGAGTCCCATCTGGATACAGATGAAAGTGTGGAATGGATCCTGAACTCTCACTGTCAATGAGTTGAACCAGAGTCTTTCTGAGTCCCAGGAGACATCACTGCAATCACAGCAAGAGCCAAGAACTCAAAGGTCCAGACCATAAACAAGAGGGATCCAAGTCTGATTTCCAAGTCTCTTTAGCATCACAGCTGCTCTTGGCTGGACTCGCACCACAGGGTTGATTGTTCTGGTCCTGACTCGCTATGACAAAGGGATATGCATGGACCTCCCCATCAGTTGAGCTGGACTGAGGGGAGACAAGGAGGGAGCACAGAGATGAAGTGGGATTTTCCCCTTGGGTAAACCTGTGCTGCCTCAGGGGGCTGCCCAGGTGCAAACAAAGACAAAGCGCCGCCTGTCTGACCCAGGAGAGACACGCTCCACAGGCACTGGGGTGGTAACCATTCATTTCTATAACCCATAGCAGTGAGCCCTAAATCTCCATGTTTAAATTCCCAGGCCCTGACCATAATCCCTGCACTCCACAAGAGACAACCTCCAGTCCTCCCTACCCCATGGAGCTTTGAGAGGCCAAGCTCAGAGGGAGCAGAACAAAACTCAGCTGGAAGGTGCGGTTCGGTAGTTCATTTCTTTTGTCTCCCCTTATCAGACTTCCCAGAAAACAGAAGTGGCATTCCCAACACAGCCATGATCTACAAACTCGGCTGCTGTGAGTTCAGCTCCCAATGGTAGGCAAGGTTGATCCATTAAGGAGTCTTGAACTGCACCAGGAAAGCCCCAAGAGAGCTATGGAGGTCCTAGGGTAAGTTGTACGTGCACACGCATGTGCCAGTGTGCACACCCATGCATACAGACAAGGGCCAATGCTGGTTTCCCAGGTGGCATCTTACCCTGGTGACATGAAGATTGTTGACCCCTCCCTTATATTGCTGCAGGAGACAGGCAAGCCTCTCAAAAACAGTGTCACAATGCCTTTCATGGTGGAAAAGGAGAATCATTGCAGGTCCCAGCACCTAGACCACAACCTGCTGCATGTGCAGAGAGAGAAGGCAGGACTGAGTCTCTCTGACAGACTTACTGGGAGGTTGCTCTGGATCAGGAAGAGGCACAGCTTTTCTCTTTCTCAGGTTAGCAGCATCCTTGGTCCATCATTGAACCATCCCTGTCTGCATGGTTCCCACCTACAGCAGTTGGGAGGGGCCATGGAATATGGCCCTGGGATGGCTCATGGATCACACCTCCTCTCTGTGCTGATGTGCCTAGATTCATGTGCAGAGAGAGTGAACTCCTCCTTGCTGCCATCCCCCTGGGTACCAAGGGAGTCACACCCAGAAGGAGCTGCCCCCTATCCTAGTGCTCACTGGCACTCATCAGCACACACAACTGCACACTGCTTGTTAGTTGCCTGTCAGTCCAGTGCACTGGGGAGGTGGGTGTGACTGACACGTTTCCTTCAGAGACGGGGTCACTGGGGGAGTAACAAGGAACTGCCCAGCATCTAGACAGAGATTCAGCACCCTTGGCTGTATTCCTCATTCTTTTCCTGACTTACTGGGGGACAGTGGGCAAGTTACTTCACTTCCTGAGCCACAAGGATGAGGCTTTCTAGGCTCACAAGGCTGCTGGGAAACTATATTTCATATCTCAGTGCTGTGAGATACTTGGAGGAAGATACTAAAGATGCTCACAGCATTATCCACAGGGTGAGGGCTTGCTTAAATGTGGCTTATACCATATCTACCCTCTACTGGGGAGGGGGAGATGATGCGCATGTGAGCGTGCCCTGATATCACAGTGACATCAGAATATAACAAGGGCAAGTTGTATTGTGACCTATAATAGGAGAGGAGGAATGGAAAAGATGTAGCAGATGGGCAAGGACCAGTTTTAGTTGGGGTTCCACCCTGCACAGCCTTGGAAGGAAATGCTTAAAGCAGCTGTGTGATATAGAGCCACCACCCTACCTCCTCCTGTTGGAGTCTCTCCAGCAGAAGGCTCACAGTAATGTCAGGCTCCATGTCTGCCTAGCCAAACACTGGGCTAGGATTGCCCTGAGCTTAGTCCATCAGGCATCTTTCTGCAGAGGCATCGCTGGTGGAAAAACCTGGGATGGAGGGAAAGGATTCTGTAGATTTCTTTGTGAGAAATCACACTGGTCTCATTCATTACCACCCTGTTGTAGCCAAACCCTGTGGCATGGGTACAAAGAAAAGGTTTCCTAGCACAGCAACAATAGGAGAGGTCTTTAGGCCACCCTCCTGGGCTGAGGCAGCTGGTACTGCCAAAGAGGCACTTTCCTTAGTGAAATTTAGTTCTGCCAAAAAGCACTTCTTTGTCAGGATGGAGATGATGCTCTGGTGTCGGCCTGCATCAGAAGGTAAGAATCTATAAGCATCAGTCCTGTGCGCAATGGCCACAGCTGTACCAGCCAAAGGGGTGAGATTGGACCTGGTCAGGGAGAAGAAGATGTGTCTTCTCCTTTCTCCTGCTGTTACGCTAGAAGATTTGCTTGCAAAATAGCCCACCCAGCTGGAAGGGGAGGTTACTATGATGTTTGTTTTCAGGAAAATAAGGGAAAGTCATGCAGACAATAACAATTCTTTTCTCCTTGGCAATTAGTTGGAGAATTGGGATCACACACCCAAAATGATGGTTTAGAACCAAAGTTTTTTGAAAGCTAGGCTCCCTATATACATGCCAACGGGTGGGGAGGGGCTGTTTAAATTAGAGTGGTTCCCCAACAGCCACTCTGATTAAAATGGCTCACCATCACGTTTTAAACACCCCACATTTTAAAATGGCCATTGGAGCTCTTTAACTAAAGCTTATTCAATAAGATTTAGTTAAAGCACCCCCATGGCTATTTTAAAATGTGGGGGGAAGGGACCAGAGGGGGAAGGAGGGTGCTCATTATACATGGCAGTGAGTCAATGCTGGAGCATTTTAATTAGAATGTGGAGCAGACTTGATTCATTAAGCCTGCTCTAACGAGTTTTAATTAGAATGGAAACCAGCTTGTCTATAGGCTGCCCTAATGCTTAAGCTTAGGTAATGTATATGGAGACACCTCACACCACCCACCCGGTTGCAAGGGGGACAAGGTCAAAAATACCTTGGGGATGGAAGGAGGCCTTTCCCAGAACTTCTAACACAATCTCTGATGATCAGAGGCATGTCAGTGTTCAGAGGCTGAGACTTGATCCTGACCTGGACTCAATCACCCAATCTACAGTCAGGCCACCTAGTAACACTGTGTGCAGAACTGAAAATCTGGCTCTAGAAAAGCTGGTTTTAGCTAAGCCACCTATTCCTTGTGCTTCCAAGAATGGGTGTGGGACAAGAGACTAGGCATGGAGAACATCATGGGGATCTTACCTTTGCCAGGTAGTTTCAGGTTGATGACTTCCATTGTTCAAAGTTGGCTTAAACAAGCTCTCCTTCTTTCATGTACTGAGCAGATCCTATTGTGAATGTGTCTGGAGCCACTCCAGCCACCAGGTCCAGGACCCAGGAAAGAGGTGAGCCAACAGCTTTTGTGATGTAAGCACCACTATGACACTTAGGTGACCCTGTCCTACCTCATAGGTGGCTGCTGACCAGTGAGGGGCCGTGTATCATGTAAGCTTTCACAGGGCTGCATAAGGATCCAGATATAAGTATCCCCAGAGGAGGCTAAATTTGTTTTGATGTAGAATACCTTAGGCCTTCAGATCACCTGGGAGTTTCCTGTCTTCTCCAGGTGCGTGGTACCTTCCAACACTGATTATTTAAATCTGGCCATGGTTGAATGTGTAAGAAATAAAAACAGGTAGGAACCAGGAGAAGTTTCCTTTCACTTGCTAGCTGCTTGGACCCCTTTGTTTTTTCATCTTGTCATCCAAAAGGGCTTGTTGAAGCCCTCAGATGTTACAAAAGTAGGTTACAGCCATCTTGTCCATCCAGCCCACTAAATACACCCTGCCCACATGGGTCCTGGGCCTGTCTACATGGAGGCCCCACCCACCCCCTCCATCCAGTGCCCCCAGTGGTAGGTGCAGGGCGGACAGCTGCTCGAGAGGTCAATGATCCAGGACTATAAAATTTGGCCCAGTGGGAATCTCACACAAATGTCTCATGAGGTAGAAAATCTGTATATAAAGGTACTTTTGTTTCTTTCCCATGTCTCTGCCATATCCCCTAAACATTAGTTATTCAACTCATACACAACCCCTGTAAAACTGACTATGTTCACTATTCTCAATTAGCAAATGAGGATAGTGAGGCAAAGAAGGAGTAAGTGGCAGGTCTAGAAGACGTGCTAGTGTAGGGAACTGAACTGAGACCTCTTGAGTCCCTTTTCAGAGACCTCTGATGTGTCAAACTTTCACTGCAGAGGGTTTGCTCTTGCTTTTCCTGCAATGCCTGTAATTCATGGAGGGGGAGGAAGCATTTCCCAATGATACTAGAATGGTTGCATGTACTTGCTAAATGAATAGGTGTTATTAAGTACAGCATGTGCCCGCATACACTGGAGGACATACAGGACCAAGTAGAATAAATAAGTGATTGGAGGAATTGTATAAGATGGTGGAGCTGTTATATTTTTTATGTGAATACAGCATCTGACTTAATCAGGCTCTTTGCTTCCTTCAAAACACACAAAACAAAACGCCCTCTGCACAGGGCTACCTGCATGAGAACTTTTCTCTGAACTTAGCAACAGCAAGTTCTGTAATCTTAGGTCTCTGCTATGTCTCAATTCCATATCAGGGAAATCATGCCAATTAAAAT